ATTTTCAAGTTATGTCGGGTTTCAATCTTGAAAATCAATCTTCGGTTATTTTGAATAATTCTAGAGCCCAGAAGAACGCAAGGTTCAATTTTAGCTTTCTCAGAGGACAATCCGGGACCAGAAGGCTCAATTTATGAATGAAAAAAATGGAGCTGCACTAGAGCGGCAAGGATCAAACTTACCAATGGATTTTTCCAGTGCGAGTGTTGGATGTTTACCCCTCACGTCCAATAATCCTCGAATTGTCCCATGTATTCTTTTTTTCAGTGGCTGCGGCGTCACAAGCTGTTGCTGATGAAAAGAAGATGGCCCAAAGCAACCTCGAATCGCCCTGCTTGGCCCCGCATCCCCTCCAGCAGCGCGTCGAGGCGCCCTCAGCCTCGGCTCCACCCACCCTTCCCTCGTGGGGCGTGCCCGGCCACCCCTCTCCCACAAAGCAGAAGCAAGTGCAGACCTCATCCAGTCGGGCACTTGAGACATCAAATCCAACCCCAAGCCAAGGGCCGTCCTGCGTACACTGCGAGGGATGTTGCACTGAGGGCTTTCTGCTCCGAGAAGAACGGCACCGGCATGAAAACGTCGCCGTGAGCTTCACGGCAAGTTTATCGTCACAGCTGAGGCTACGTGTTACTTGAAGTAGCTCACTATGAGCTTTTGGTGACTACTCTGTTCTCTTTGCTTTCTGTTTACAGGTGCAGCAGAGCAGTCTAGTCGTGGACATATACTCGAGGAAACATGCTATTACAACACATTGAATTTCATAAATTGTCCAGTTTTGGAATAGTAAATACCATTGCTAGGATCAATAAAAAAATGAACTTAGACTACTTTCCTCTGTAGTGCCACCCGTGTCAATTATCCTCCCGTAAAGTGACTATCCTCTAAGGGACAAAGCTCCCCAGCAGTTACTTTTTTTTTTGCAAGTCGTAAGAATTGAATAAAGAAAAACTGTTAGATATTATTTTCTTTTATTTTATTTGTCATACATTTCTAGTACACGATTCCGATCAAGCTGAGTTGAGAGGATGGTAGTTCCAGAGTCCACAGAAACAAAATCGATGAACCTGTTGGCAAAAACACAAACAAAACAAACCGAGTGTGTGGCCGTGGGTTGAAAATTCACATGCTAGAGCGAACTCCACCGCTGTTCCTTGATTTTCATTTTGCTGAAAATAGTCATACATTCCCCCAAATATCCACGGTTGTTTATGCATCCCTCTTTGCCAAAACGACTGTTTATTTCTCCGTGCCTGTACTTTCGCAAAACAAAGCGCAGTTCCAATACACATGCTGGGCATAAACCGCACGCGCGCCGTCCGCCGCTTCTGCCTGTGCTTTTTTGCCCCCTTCTCCCCTCCTTTACAATGTACATTCATTTTCCCCGGATTCGGCGCCGTGCCAGGCCGTGCCAGGCACTGCCAGCGAGCCCCGCAGAAACCGCGGAGGACGTGTTTTTCGGCGGCACGGTTTATTGTCCCCGTGCGCGTCCGCGCGTGTGTCGCGTGCGTGCCGCGTGCGTGCGTGGAGAGGCCACACTATTCGCACGACACGCTATTCTCACCGGGGGGTGGGGATGCGTCCGAGCGAGGCACACTGCTGTGCCATCAACCCCGCAGTACGCAGGACGACGGCAGTGCGATGCTGCTTACTCGGACGCGCTCCTATTTTGTACAGCGCCCGCTGTGCGTCGTAATGTATTCTTATTATCTGCTGGGGTGGCCCGTGTGCGTGCGCTCTCGGTGCGCGTCGCGAGGACCGCGAGGACGGGGTGAAAGGTCTACGACTTCTGCTGTAAAAAAAAAACTCCGAGTCCCCCTCCATCTAAATGCATTTTTTGCGCTTTTTCAAGCAAAGTTTTCGTACTAGTCGCAATTAAGCACCGTTTTTAAAGCCAGGCGCTACGCAACACTTTCCGAAATCACGTACGAAGTAGAAGTAAAGTAAAAACGCAACTAAACCTGCGAAAATTTGCAAAAATTATGGCTTTTGTCATTGAAAAAAGTTGTGAGGCTGATAGATATTTCCTACGAAAAAGAACCCTCCTAGGAAGCCCCTGAGGTTGTAATAGACCTATTACGGCTCTCCATTTACAGCGCGGCTCGCAGGACTGCGACGCAAGTCGCACGTTCCGCGCCTCTCTCTCTCTCTCTCTCTCTCTCTCTCTCTCCTCTCTCTCTCTCTCTCTCTCTCTCTCTCCCACCCACCCCCGCCGGCAACCAGATTGCGGTTCATTTCATTACCACGGCAGCGCGGCCCGCTGCGCCCCGACCATAAAACACAGACGCATCAGGCGACGCCGCGGCGGTTGATGGTCGCCAAGGCAACGCGACGGGGGAGGCAAATGACAACAAATTTAAATCAAATCTAACCTAACCGCCGCCGCACCGTCCCGAGGGATGGAAAGCCCGAGCGCTCGACCCAGGGATGAAAATAATTTTGGCGGGAGAAAAAAATTTCAGGCATTCAAAATGTTCCGTAATACTGTCAGCGAATGGGGCGTTTATCTTGTCCCGCGATTTCTAAGGGGCGAAAAAAGCGAGAGGGTGCGGGAGAGAGAGAGGGAGAGAGAGAGGAAAGAGGCGAGCCTTTGAGATTCAGACGGCCTTTCAGGGCCGCCGTTTCGGGACACTGACTTTGCCGCCGCGTTTTTGGTGGTCAGCGGACACGCGGCGGGGTAATGAAAATCATCTCTCATTGAAATTCAAGGAGGATTGTGCGTGGGATGGCCGATAATTGAGGCAACTAGCTGGAAAGGGGTGCGGAGCCGTGCGGAGAGAAGGCTAATACCGTGCCATTGTTTTCGGCTCAGTGCGGCTCGGTACACCCGAGGGTGACGCGGGCCGCGCAAGGGGTGGCGCCAGCAAGGGGTGAGTGTGTACACTGCACGGCGCCGCACCTTCAGCGTGGGAATTTCAGCTACACTGCAAAGCAATGCTGGCTAGAAGCGTCGTCCTTTGGTTTTCAAGAGCCGGACAGCCTGCTCTTCTTCTCCTTGGCTCGGACGTTGAGTTTGCTGCTGGGCGTTTTCAGGGAAAGGGGTGTCTGAGAAGGAGGAAGGTCAGGAAAAGTCAGGATGGCAGTGATTCAGTAGATTGTCAACTCTATCAGAGAGGAAGGAATGATTAAGTCAACAGACACTTGACAGTTCATGACGATCAAAGACACATTTCCAACCATAAGAGGACGTGTAGCTAAAGGCATCGCAAATTTTCCTGACCTCTTCCCTAATGGTTTGTTAAATGAACACAAAAAAATTGATATGTAAAGTAACGTTTTGTACTTGTACACTATACACATTTTACATTCGATCACGGGGTAGACAATTGTGTACACAGTCGAAGATCCACCCTCAGCTATTTTATGCACAATACTTATGAGACAAATCAACAATAAAATTCTAGATCACTTTAATAATTCTCGATGCTTTTTTTAAAGTATAAAGATAATTTGTTATGTACAGAGAAACATTTTCAGTATAAATTGTTGACAAATAATTTATAAACATAAGCAGCATTGTGTAGTTGTAAACAAGACTTTTTATTCAAAAATATTTTCAAAGATTTGTCTAGGCTGAAAGCTTTTAAGGTACAGTAAAGGTCGAAATTAATACAACCACTTGTGAGACTGGTGACTCCTAAGACAAAACCATTTAGTGGTGTCACAGCATAACCATTTTCCTACATCACCAACTCGGCCCTCGGCTGATCAGTTTCGCTGCGGCAATCCCATGCCACAGCCGCAACAGACCGAAAACCCCTCACATCAAATGAAAAACAAATCACGAATATTTAACTCATTTCATTACCCACATTAAAAACGATTTCCTAACAGTAAACGATACGAGATCCAGTGAACAATTCATTTTCATAGGTGGTCTCATATAAAATAGTTTTAAAACAATATTACATTATATGTACAGCGTAATTAAAATCTTAAGGGTATGATACAGGGAATGGCGTTGTCAGGAGGGCATCACAGACTACGGGGGCCTCGCTGCCACCGCGACTAGGTGGGCAGCTCCGTAAGACGAAAACAAAAAGCGCCGCAAACGATTGCACCACAAACAACAACAACAAGAATTGCAACAATAACCAAGTGCAATACAGAATTAATGACAGCTGGCTTGCGGCGCAGGGGCGGGAAGGCTCTGGCGCTTCATGCCGGGGCGTGCCGGGGCCGGCCCTCGGGTCGGGGCGGTTCTGGAGGGAAGCCCCACGCGGACACTCGCGCCGAAAGCGGCTTCCGGCGGCGTCCGCGCGGGGACGGGGCCTCCCAGCAGAACCGCCGCGACGCGAAGGCGCTGGACCCGACACCGGCTCACCGCGGAAAGTTTTCAAACTAAAAAGAGTAAAATTTCGAAAATTCTCAAAAACAAATGAAGGAAAATATTTGCTGTTTTAATTTAAAAGTGTATCAATTGCATGCTTGCTTACTGACAGGATTTAGGATCAGTGCCGGGAGGAATCGAACACTGCAGGAGTGGGGGAAAGTCAGACACCTTATTTTTTGAACTTAATTGTCTCACTTAGCGACTGAAATTAAGGTGTGTGATTTTCCCCCACTCCTGCAGTGTTCGATTCTTCCCCGCACTGACTCCAGATTTCCAATCAAAACGGGTCAAAATGGTCAACTTTTTTTCAGAAGTGACGCATTGAAATGGGTGCGGTGAGCAGGGACGGCTTGGGGGCCATCCGCAGCCTTCCCCTCCCTGGCCGAGCAGAGCAGCTCAGACTAGAGAGCCGGCGTGTCACAGTCTTACGGAAAGGAGGGACTAACTCGCTGGCGTCGCGCCGCGTCGCGCGTGGGTGGGGGCAAGGACGACCTGGACGAGGCACGCCCGGACGCAAATCGGTGATAAGCGGTTGGCCAGCCCGGCCTGCAACAAGGCCGTCATGCGCGGAGCGACAAGGCTGTCCCTTCGCCAGCCCTGCGCCTCGCCGCCGGCCTCGCCTTCGGGGCCCCTGGGGGGCCCCTCGGGGGGCGCGGCGGCGTGCGGGGGCGCGAGGCCAGCCGGGGACGGCGCCGGCTACTGGTACATCAGTGCCGGCGACCACGAACTTCAGACAAGGCCCTGGGGCTTGACATCCTCTAGCCCGGCCACCGACAGCCCCATGGGAGGCGGCGTGTGCGTGTGGCCTAGGGAGGCGGGCGAATTGACGCCGCCCCCCATCTCGAGCTGGGAGTTGTCCTCCGAGTCGGAGCACGACTCGGAGCTGCCCTTCTTGGAGCCGTCTCCGTCCCCGTCGCCAGACCCGTTGTGGGTCTTGACGTGCTTGGCGAGGTGGTCGCTGCGCATGAACCGCTTGTTGCAGACCGGGCAGGCGAACCGCTTCTCGCCGGTGTGCGTCCGGAGGTGCCTCTGGAGCTCGTCCGACCGCGTGAACCGCTTGCCGCAAAAAAGCCAGTTGCACACGAAGGGGCGCTCGCCCGTGTGCCAGCGCAGGTGCGCCTTGAGGTGCGACGTCTTGCCGTACACCTTGCCGCACCCCGGGATGTGACACGAGTGGATGTTCCTCTTTCGGAGGTGGATGCCCGCCGGCCCGAGGCGGTCCGCCTCCTGGCAGTTGGGGCAGTCGCACGTCGCCCTGCCGGTGTACCGCCGCTGCGACCGCGGCGACGGCGACGCGGCCGCCTGCGAGGACGCCGCCGTGGAGGTGGACGTGGCCGGCGACGGCGTGGAGGTGGTGGTCGGGTGGTGGTGCGCGGCGGCCGCCGCGTGGTGGCCCAGCGAGGTGAACCCGGGCGCCGTCTGCATCGTCTTGTAGTCCTGCAGGAGGTGCTGCCCCACCAGCGGGTGCGCGGTGTGGCCCAGCGTCGAGTAGTCCGCCGAGCTCGCCGCGGCGTAGTTGGCGGCGGCCATCTGCGCGTGCACGGCGCCGGACGACATGTCGAGCCAGGAGCCCGCGGCCGCGGCCTGGTGCACGTCCCACCAGGCGCTGTTGTCGCCCTTCATGGCGCCGTGGTGCGACGCGTTGAAGGGCCACGCCTCGTAGGGGTGCCGCGAGTACAGGTCCTGCTGGCCGCCCGTCGCCGCCGCCCCCGAGAAGTACAGGTCGCCGCCGTAGCCCGTGCCGCACGCCGCGGCCGATCCCGGCGTCGTCATCTGCCTGCTGGAGTACGCCGCCGCGCCGCCCTGGCCCGACATCTGCCGCGCCGCGCTCTGCGACGCCGTGCTCTGCGTCGTGCTGCCGCTCGACACGGGCAGGCTGTTGTTGTTGTTGGAGGTAGAGTTGTTGTTGTTATTGCTGGTGCTGTTGTTGTTATTGTTGTTGGTCGTGCTGTTGCTGGTGGGCGGCTGGTGGCCGGGCTGGCCGCCGCCCCCGCTGGGGCTCTTCTTCCAGGGGTGGAAGCCCTTGCCCACCGCGGCGTCGGCCAGCGGCGGCGGACTCTTGCTGGACAGCTTGTTGCACTGCGCCGCCAGCATGGCGAGCGGGGTGCCCCTCAGGCCCGGATGCTCCTGCAACAAGACGGAGAGACGCCACGTCAGGACCCGCGCTCGCACGATGGGCCAGAAGACGGGCGCCCGCGGCCAAAACTCAGACGCGTTGCGAGCTCTAGAGTCGCTAAATAGGACTCTGGAGCTCAAAAAGCGTCTGAGTTTTGGCCGCCTGCGCCGGTCTTCTGGCCCACTGTGTGCCATAGTTCCGGGCAGTGTAGGATGTCATTGGGTGAGATTGATTCGCCCGAAGGTAGGAGGAGGGGGACGGGTCGTCGGGGTCGCCAGTAAGGTTGCGATGATACGCGCATGCAAGCAGCCGACATTTATGGGACAAACGGCCACACCGCGTGATAAAAAGCATGAATGGAGGAAGGACGGGGAAAGAAAGAGCGGACCGCGAGAGCGAGAGAGACAAAAAAAACCTGGCAGGATGCGACATTGAAAGTAGGCTGCAAAGTGAAAATTTGTGTGCACCGCAGCGGAAGGGGAGGGGGGATTTTAGGGAGTGATGACTGCCAAATGAGGGTGTGCTTTGTCGCCGCCGCGTGTTTGACTGACGCGCTGTCTCGGCTCACTGAACGTCAAAGCAAGGCAAGCAAGGCCAAGCCCCGCGTCGCATCCTAATGCCGCGTTGACACAGTGGCGACAGTCGCCTCTAGAGGCCGACTAGCGGGCTGGGGCTGGGCTGGGGCCGCCGGTCGGTTACCGTTGCACAGTGGGACAGAAGACCGGCGGAGGCGGACAAAACTCCAAACGCGTTTTGAGCTCCAGAGTCGCCAAATGGGACTCGGACCGAACGTGTAACCCCACCAATGAATTGCTCTCCGAACGAGGAATCCATTGGTGGGGTCACACGTTCGATTCGAGGCCTGTTTAGCGACTCTAAAGCTCAAAACGCGTGTAGAGTTTTGTCCGCCTCCACCGGCCTTCTGGCCCACTGTGCGTTGGATGTACGCCATGCCACGCTGTGTGGCGTCTGGGAAAAAGCGCGAACATCTTTCTCGACACGGGAAACATTTCCTCTCCTCTTCCTGACGCGATTCGGCGCGAAATGCATCCCCCCACGATTGTGCGTGAAATGGACTGTTTGCAGAGCGCATCAAGGGCCGACCGTGAAAAGAAGGGGAAAATTAATGTTTGGGCGTCCGGGTGCTCGGTGGCCGCTCGGTGCTCCATCACTGCCTCGGCGGCCTCGGTGCTCAGGCTCGCTCCCCCGGGGCCCGGGGGCATCGGGGGTAGGCAGTGGAGTGGCCGGCAGCCGCCGGCAGCCCCCAGCGTAACGGATCCCAAGACTCTGGAGCTCAAAGCACGTCTAGAGTTTTGGCCGCCTCCGCCGCTCTTCTGGCCCACTGTGTGGCCGCAGAGGCGCCGCCGGGCCGGCGAAAAACTCGCCATCTTCTCTCTCCGCGGCGGCGCGTGGGGCCGTGGTGGCTTGCGGTGGGGGCGTGGCGGGGTGGGGCGGGGCGCGGTGGGCGTGGCCGCGTCGCGACGCATCGCAGCCAGACAGATGCGTGCGCGACGCGCTGGCCGGAGGGGAAGGGGGAGCGGTTCGCGGTGCCATGCGACGCCTGCGACGACGCCGTGCCCGCGCGGCCCGACCGCGTCCCCCTTCCCTTCCCCCTTCCACTGGCTGCCACTGCAGCGGGCCGGGGGTTCGTACCCAGTGCGCCGCGCATCTTTACGCATCTTCGCCGTTTTTCAAAATGTCCTCTCCTCGCCCCTCCCACTGTACCTGCGCGGCCGCAGCGCGCACCCCTTCTGTTTTGAATCGGTCCGCGGCAGACGCGACGGAAGGGGAAGGGGGAGGGGGGAGGGGGAAGGGGGTGAGACGGCAACGCCGAGGAAGCACCGAAACGAAAAAGACGCCGGCTGCATGCAAATGCAATCCAAAGCATTCTGCAGCCACATGCAGCACGTCGCTCTGTCTCTCTCGCACCCATGCGGGGCGGCCCATGAGTGCGACAGAGACGGAGCGCTCCGGAATCGCACCGCGGCGCAGACGGACTGGAACGAAAATAGTGATCCGTGGTACTCATTGTCGATCCCCGAGAAGAGCGCCCCTCCTTTGTAGCAGTCGGACTGAAAGGCCCAAAGGCCCCTCACCTCAATGCGTCTCTCTCTCTCTCTCTCTCTCTCTCTCTCTCTCTCTCTCTCTCTCTCTCTCTCGCTCTCTCTCACACACACACACTCGCGGGGCGTAGGGGTGCGAGAGGGACGGAGCGAGGCCGTCGGTCGTCGGTACGTGAGTTTGCAGTTATTGGCTCGCAACAATGCAGGCCCCAGCCCGTCCAATTACAAACTGAAAATTATACGCCGCTAAAGGACGGCGGCAGACTGATTCCGAGAGTCGCTTCGTGGCTCTGTCTCGGTCGCACCTCCACGCGACGCCCCATGGGTGCGAGAGAGACAGAGCCACGAACACGTCTCTCAGTCCGCTGGCGGCGGGCCTTCACAAATGAGGCGCGCAGTCAGTCGCGTCCTTTTCTTATTTATACAATGTTCTATCCGGGCGCGCTCCTACACCGTACGGCTCCGTATACGGCGGCTGACCGAATCTGACCGGGGCGGTCGGGCTTGACTCGCCGACGGCCGAATGGAGCGCGCCCCGCAACGCCCCGCACACATCGGAACCATTAGGGCCAAATTGACTCCCCGAAAAGCACTTCGGGTCTCCCGAAGGACCCTCTACGGACCGAATGGCCCGACGAGAGAGAGAGAGAGAGAGAGAGAGAGAGAGAGAGAGAGAGAGAGAGAGAGAGAGAGAGAGAGAGGCGGGAGAGGTACGTCACAAAGTGGGGGATGAGTGCTTGACCTGTGGCGGCTGAAGGCACCGCGGCGGCACTTTTGAGGTTAGGCCGCCTTGTTTGTAGAGCGGGAAAAGAGACACGCCCTGGCCGGGGCTTGAACCCGCGACCGCAGTAGCCAATCTCGGGGTTGTTCTTTGAGACTCGCGAAAAGTGGCTGTACTTCGTGTGCTCGCGTGCCTGGTCAACTCAGGTCAGTACCAGTAAGAGCCAAGCAAGAAATCTGCATGCTAGGCCGGAATTCAAATTCAGATTCGAAATGACAGTAGAAATACATAGTAGCAGGCCTGGCGGCGACGAATCGGAGGCACAGAGACACAGACAGTTGCCTCGTCATGCTGAGTTGTGCGTGGCCCGCCGTGCGTGGCACTGCGTAGCTCTGCGTAGCGACCTGGATCGGGGCCTCCTTGAGTCCGCCGCCGGCCTGCCTCCCTCTGCGCGCACGAATGCACCAATTCGACTTTTGTACGGAGTAAAAAGCGCTTCTGGCGCGGCCAAGGCTGGGTGGGTGGTGCTGGCCGGGGCTGTGCGGGGAGTTGGCTGCGGTGGGGTTGGAATTAATTTGCATATCGAAGAAGCACGGCCTCCGCCGCCTTTAGGCCCCTGCGGCGACGGGCATCGCTCCGGTTTTCTCACTCCCACTGGCCGCCTCATCACTTTATCCCTTTTGTCTGCTCTGATTCAGTTGGCAGCGGCACAAGTCAAAGGAGAACAAATAAATATTGTGGCTGCAGGTGTGGATGAGTCTAACGCCGTCTAGCGCGTTTTGCTGCTGTCGCGGGTTCACGTTGACAAATACTTCATGAAAATTGAGCTGGAGAACGCTGCTTGACCTCGTCGCGTTTGCGTGACATTTGTGTCCCAGACTACCACTGCTTGCCCTGCGTAAGGTGACAGAAGACAAACTTGGTATGAGCAACAGCTTGAGTCAAAATGCCTCCTGGTTCTTGGGTTTGCTTTCTGTCCAGTTTCGTAGTGCAAACGCAAACAACGGCAATCTAGGCTAAGTGTCATACGTGGTCCAGTCTCTTAAAGTTTAATTTGAAGTACTTGTCATCACACCAGCAGGAACCAGGAGACATTTTCCACTATGGGTTCTGCTGCGAGTTGATTCAAGGTGATGTTCGTCGGCCCAAGTCCAAAGTCCTGACTCCAATTCTTTTGACTTTTTGAGTCCGTCTCAAAATCAGACACTTTCCTGTTTTGTGCGAGGCACAGCCTGCCCTGCTTGCCGAAGCATTGCTGCTGGAAAAGCACCTGGAAAGCGAGGGGTGAAGGACTCTGTAGGAAGAAGGACTCCCTGCCGCCCATTAGTCGACTGCAGGACTAATCTGTCTGTGCTTGGCCGTAAAAACTGGCGAATCGTCCTTCCTGACTTGACTGTCCCGTCCCCAGGGCCTATCGCGGTCCTCCATCGCGCCGCGAATCTGCCACGTCACGTCGCGTTGTCCCCAAGGGCCGCGGTGGCGCACTCGGGGGCCGCACGTAAATGACCAGCGTAATTCTCTGACGAAGCGAAAAAAAAAAACAACAACAACGACAGAACACTTGTACGTAACCGGGACCGCAGTTACTGTGAGCCGAACATTAAATTTCTGGCCGCTCCGAAACAAAGAAAAATACTGCCGCGCCGGACGAAACAAAAAATTGGGCAGGAAGAAAATGAAATAAAAAGGAAAAAGATGTTTTGGAGCGAGCGGCAGCGCGATGTCAGTCGCCGTCAAAGTGAGGTGAGGGAGGTGTTGGCGCCGTCTGATGCCCTCTCCCCCCTCCCTTTCCAGGCTCTTTCCAGAGCACCAAGAGGGAGCCCCTCATCAAAGCAGCAGTGTCATGACCTAGCCTCATCGCAGCCCTCATCCACTAAGACGTCCCCGGAAGGACCGGAACGATCAGCAAAACTCGCGACAGCACGCGACACGATTCCGTTCCATATCCCACTTCCGCGAGCAGCAACGCTCGTTTTCCGCTTCCTCACTTCGTGCCCACGGAACGCGTCGCTGTCAGCACAAGGGATCTCATTAGCTCTCTCTCTCTCTCTCTCTCTCTCTCTCTCTCTCTCTCTCTCTCTCTCTCTCTCTGCCTGCCTACTGCCTGTCATTAGGAAGGAGCCCAGAAAAAGACTACACGGGACAGGTTTCGAACCCAAGACATCCAGATGACGTCCGAATTTCGACCACCTGGCGGTGCTTTGGCGATTCGAAGTAGAAAGTCGGCCGAGCCCAGCTTCCCCCAGCTGCTGTTCGATCGTGGAGCTTGTATGACTCACACACGGGGCGTCCGAGGGCAGGGGGCGTGGCGGGCAAGGCCGCGCCGCGGCGCCACGAGATCACAAATAATTAGAAACCAGGCGATAATGAAAAATGAGTTATAAAGTAAAGAGATGAGGTAGCCTGGGCGCTGCACTGGTCCGGTTGGCCGCTCGGCTCTCCCAGGCTGCCAGGCGCTGCCAGGCGCTGCCAGGCGCTGCCAGGCAGTGACTCACTGGGGGCAACGGCTTCGGACTGCCGGCTTCGAATCGGCCAAATTTACGTCTGGGATCCGCTGTCATAACACCGTACGTGCAGTTCTGAAGAAGTCGCCTCCGAGCAAATCGAATTTCATAAACTTTCCGGATTTGTTCCGAGGAGGGCCCCGCGCAAGAAGCCGGGACCCATCAAGCCCGCGTGCTTAATTACATTTGCCACCAAATGACTCCATTTTTGTTCCCGCGTAAAAACGGAACGGGCGAGTCGTTAGCCGCGGCCTCCTCAAAGACCTTTCCTCTCTCTAGCGTCGTGGCGCCAAGGCGCAGCCAGCCGGCCAGACCGCCGTGTTTTAATGCCTGACCATAACAGCGAAATAATAGAGTGGCATCCAGCCATCGATAACCTTTCATTTGCCTCCAAATGACAGTTGGAATCTCGTTTGGGACACGACCACTCGTATTACGAAGTGAGATTTTACTGTGTATCTGAGGTCTTGGTTCCATGAGGTCTCAGCTCCAGTCGAATAATGAAAGAAATCATTTTTAACGGTGGAGGGAATGCCTTCCTATCGACACATGTGTGTTGTCATGGTATCGGCGGCGCTGGCGGCGGCCTCTGACGGGCACCTTCCCCTTCACGGCGGCGGCCCGGCGGCAGGCTCGCGCTCGCGGGGATGCGGCGGGGAAAAAATATGTCGACAGGGAGCCGAAAGGGTTACGAGATGACGGTGTCACGACATGGCGGCACGTCACGGCGCGAGCGGGGCGGGGCCAGGCGGGGCGAGCAGTGCGTCTCGTTGTCGAGCTAAAGGAGATGCACCGTGGAGGATTCGAGGTGCAAACAGCCATGACCCGTAAGAAAACAAATAAGTTGGTTTGAGAACGCGGTAAAGTTGGACGCATAGATATCAACTCGCGGTCGAAAAAGTGCCGCAAAGGGACAAGTTGTATCATCAAACATGTAGCTTTTGAAAGCTTCGAAGACTGTCCACCTTTCAGAAACGACCACAACACATATTGTAAGTGCTGTGATTTTTTTTCTCTCAACGTCTGAGAGTGTTCCGCAGGTCCTTCAGGATGAACCAGCCTCTGAGTTCCCACAGGCGTGGCAGTGCTTGGCTGTGCTTCGCGCCCAGTCCGCTGGTTGGCCAGACTGACGTGTCAGGCGGGCTGATGAAGCCGTTGCCAGGAGCGCCGCGGGCAGCATGGGCTGCTGGCGCGGCCGGGCCGCGGGACGGGGGGCCTATCGACCACACAGTGATATGCAAATGCACGGTAGCCGAAGGTGTGTTGGGCTGATTAAATAAAAGGATTGGGAATGTAACGAGGAACGACAACTACTACATCGCAGTGGCGTGCCCGGGCCCTCCACAGCGCCCCGCCTGCGTAACGCGGGGGAAACGATCCCAATGAAACAATTTCTGAAACGTATCGAGCAGTGCGCGTCCCACTCGGTCGACTCGTCTTGTAAAATTCGAGCCGGCCCGCCCCCTGTCGCCCGTGGCGAGGCGCGTCGCGGCCAGATGGACATACCGAGCAGGCCTGGATAAACGCGCCCAAATGGCTTTTAAATAGTTGGCTCGCCACACCGCCACTTCGCACTGGAAAACGGAGCCGCTCTTCAGGGCCTGATGATGATTACGGCAGTGATAAAACATGACCAAGAGGCGGAAACGAGGTCTGTGGTCATGAAGGATGCTATCTCCGGTGCAGCCGCATGGAATCGGGGAGCCCTGCGCGACGCCTTCGTGGAGCTGGCACTTCCCCGCGAACTCTCAGAAAGCTCCTCGGCAGTTTCAACCACGCATGGCCATCCCTAGGGTGCACTCCAACTAATGATAGCATTTACTTAAAATAATTATTTTGACTGCTCTGTAGTTGTGAATCAATGACAACCACCCCGGGAACAACATGTTTCAAATATGGCTGAAACTACCGAAGATTTTTCTGGGTAAATAACCCAAGCCTTAGACAACGACCTGTTCATGAAAATTAATACGCAGAGTACAGAGCATGTAAATGATTCATGGGTGCGTCTAGGGCCGGTAGTTGCAGTGACGAAGCCCCCCCGCTCGGGCCCCGCAGCCCCACCTGAGGCGGAGTGGGGTTCACAAGCCCTTCAAACATAAATCAGTGCCGACTCGGCTACCGGGCGATCGGATTCAGTCTCGGCGTTGCTGCGGCCGTCTTTGGCCGCGGGGCAACCCGAACAGGAGCCTTCACCAGTACAGGGGGTGCCAAAAACTCGGCCTGAGTCGGTCCCTCGCCATGACCTTCAACTCGCCAGGAACGGGCATTGAACTCTTCAACAACTCACGAGTAAGTCATAAATTGTAGCGAAAGTGAGTTTGCTACAGTTTCAAGGAATAAGCAAAGACCGCAGGGTCGCTTCCAATCTGGAAAGTGACCCTAACCAAGCACATTCGGTGCATGTGGAATGTTTCCAAGTAGTGCCAGAACTAATTTTTCAGACCGCACCGCCAGTCGTAGCATACTTACCAGGATTTCCTGGTCACTGGGCCAGGCCACGCCGACGCCCACGCCGACGGAGCTGGCTCTGCTATGCACCACCCCGAGCGAGGACTGCAGGAGCAGACCGTCGCACACCTGCAACAGACGAAAGAGGTTCAACTTAAGCATTGTCTCTTGCAAACCATGTGACGCCCAACAGTGCTTGGGTGCACCTTCTATAGTGGGTTGTCCAAGGTTTGAGCCAACTCAAGATTTTCATGTACACTTATTATATTTAGAGTATGATTACATGTGATTTCTTTTGATTATTTTATTATTTATCACTGATTATAGGGGGTTATAATGTTGATTATTGGGAAATATTGGGGATTATTTGAGCGCCGACCTCAATATAAGTGACTTTGGGCAGCCACTGCGTCAAATTTAGTTGCGGTCATAGGCCTCCCTCGACGCCTTACTATTCTGAAGACCCTACACTTTCATGCCCCGCCTCGGGAAGGCTTTGACCGCTGAGAGTTTGGGAGCAGTGGTCTCGCAAAAATGGTCAAAAAGTGAATGAATTTCAGAAAATTACCGTTTCTGCTGACTTTGAGCGGTCACTGCATCCAATTTAGTTGCGGTCAAAGGCCTCCCTCGACGCCTTACTATTCTGAAGACCCTACTCTTTCATGCCCCGCCTCGGGCAGGCTTTGACCGCTGATAGTTTGGGAGCAGTGGTCTCGCAAAAATGGTCAAAAAGTGAATGAATTTCAGAAAATTACCGTTTCTGCTGACTTTGAGCGGTCACTGCATCCAATTTAGTTGCGGTCAAAGGCCTCCCTCGACGCCTTACTATTCTGAAGACCCTACTCTTTCATGCCCCGCCTCGGGCAGGCTTTGACCGCTGATAGTTTGGGAGCAGTGGTCTCGCAAAAATGGTCAAAAAGTGAATGAATTTCAGAAAATCACCGTTTTTGCTGACTTTGAGCGGTCACTGCATCCAATTTAGTTGCGGTCAAAGGCCTCCCTCGACGCCCTACTATTTTGAAGACCCTACTCTTTCATGCCCCGCCTCGGGAAGGCTTTGACCGCTGGTAGTTTGGGAGCAGTGGTCTCGCAAAAATGGTCAAAAAGTGAATGAATTTCAGAAAATCACCGTTTTTGCTGACTTTGAGCGGTCACTGCATCCAATTCAGTTGCGGTCAAAGGCCTCCCTCGACGCCTTACTATTCTGAAGACCCTACTCTTTCATGCCCCGCCTCGGGAAGGCTTTGACCGCTGATAGTTTGGGAGCAGTGGTCTCGCAAATATGGTCAAAAGTGATTGAATCCCCGAAAGTATGACTGTCATTTCATTGGATGATGTTGATTATTTCACTGATTACCAAGTAGACATGCAATGATTATCTTGAGTTGGGTACCCCTTGCATGCTACTTATCACACAAGTTTCTTGGGTCACTTCTAGACGGACCTGAATCGACAGAAGATCATTGTTCATGTCCTGCCATTTTAACCTCCTGGAGCTCAGTCGATGGCCTAGGAGTGCGAGCTGCCAGGAGCGTCAAGCTTTTTGAACTCAGCCGACTGGTTGACACTGTCATCATTTGGCGCGAGGAGGCCTCGGACTGGCTGATGCGGCTCCACAGGTGTTTCCCCATTACCGCTGCGCGCGCCGACTTGACTCGCTGCGCCGCCTTGCCATGCTTTGCCATTCGGAATAAAAAGAAGACCGCTATAATGACCGCCTTCGCTCTGAAACATATTCCGTGCTCCCGATGCCAACTGGGCACTGCCACGGCGCTGCCACTGCCAGGCACTGCCAAGCCAGGCCGACACGCAGCCTGGAAAAAGCAGCGGCTCGTTCGTTCAGGGGCCGCTAGATGAGAAACGAGAAACTCGGCATTCAATAAAAGGTGCGTGTGGCTGGTTCCAACATGGCGAAGCAGAGCGAGGCAGGAACGTCCTTTAGCGGCGCCTAGCCTAACCTGAGCAAATAAAAGAGCGTCTATTGGTGTCGCGGCGCCTTCCCTGAGCCAACGAGCGTCTGTACCTAAGCAAGCTAACACAAGTCTTTTGGTGGAGCCTAACCTAAGCAAATGCATAAGCGTCTTTCAGAATGACCTTAAACGCCTCTCAGCGGATCTCAGGGTCTCTTCAGGAAGTCTAAGCGAATCAAGGAGCAATCATCAGTGGCACCCAGCCTAACCGAAGCAAATGGGGCAGCGACTTTCGTCGGCGCTTCTTCGCTTGTCCGAAAGATGACAGCCGGTACGGACCACCCCGGCACCGCTAATGCGTTACTATTATCGCCCGGAATCGCCGTTTTAGTGAAGAGTAAATGTCGATATAAATGATATTTTATGTGTGGCCGAGGCTTTGGCGGGCCGCCGTCCGCGCGCTTGAAAAATGGCTCTGGAATCGAGTGGGACCCCTCCTTGCCTTCTTGGGCAGCGCTGGGCAGCCTTGGGTCAGTAATTAAAACGGGGCCACGCCTCCAGCGCGTGACAGCCGTCATGCGGTATCAATCACGACCCACTGGAAAAATAGCGGTCAAACAGTGCACTTGCAAAGGGCGTCCGGTAAGAAAGCGGAGAGCAAGAAGAAGTATAACAGCCGTACACGGTAGCTCGGCTAATCTGTTTTTGGACCATCTCGCTCCCTACCTCCCCCTTCTCTCTCCCTCCCTCTCTCTCTCTCTCTCTCTCTCTCTCTCTCTCTCTCTCTCTCTCTCTCTCTCTCTCTCTCTCTCTTCCTCTTTGTTTCTGAGTGGCCACACAGCCGCCTGCCTGATGCCCCTCAGGTAATTAACCCATGCTGATGGCCGGAGCGGTCAGCGTGCCGCCAGCTCGGCCGGCCAAGCCGAGGGCCAAGCCGGGCAGTCGAACTTGGGGAGTGTAGAGCCACGGCCGCGTCGGCAACACGACACTGGCATCGGTACACAGGAAAAATGATCAAAAGAGATTTACTTTTTGCTCGCAAGTTTCTGCCACCGTCAAGAAGGCGAATTGTGTTCCTTCGATGTTTCTTTTCTCCCGAGCCCTTTTAGGCCACGTTTAATATCGCTGCCGTACAATCGCGCGAGGAGAGTTATATCGACGTACTGGGAACTCGTTTACATACGCGTAGCTCAGCTGGACGAGCTGACGTTACACCGTGCCCTCCCCCCCCCCCTCTCTCTCACTCACACACACACACACACACGATTCGAAGAAGTGCCCATGCCCATCCACGAAGGTGGAGTGGCGGCCGGGGATCGCCCTGGCGCCCCACACTGTTGCTGTTGTGGTGCAGCGAAATCGTGCATATTAATCACCCGCGTGTCGTCTGGGAGACATGGCTCCACTTACGGCCCCGCCCCTCGCGCCGCTGGGCCAGAAGACCGGCGCAGGCGGCCAAAACTCTAGACGCGTTTTGAGCTCCAGAGTCGCTAAACAGGACTCGAACTGAAGGTGTGACCCCACCAATGGATTCCTCGTTCGGAGAGCAATCCATTGGTGGGGTCACACGTTCGGTTTGGGTCCCATTTCGCGACGCCGGGGCACAAAACGCGTCCGGTATTTGCAGTGTGGTTCGGGTCGCAGCAAATCGCCGCGTCCCCGTCGCTATCTCTTCCTGCCCTTATCAACCCCCCGACGACTGGATTTCCGCCCGTTTTACCCGCCACAACAGCAAAACATTCCGCAGCCAGTGGTGTGTCTCTGTCGCCCATGCGGGCCTCCCAGCGAGTGCGAGAGGGAGACCTCACACAGTCCGCAGCAGACGACTCGTCCGTTTGCCCCTCGAAGAAAATAACGAAGAAGGGAAAGGAAACGGGACGTGCGCAGGAAATCAGAACGGGCCGAGCCGCGCGGACCGGGCGGTTTGTAGCCTCACGAGAGGGCGCACTTCGGAAGCACCCCTCCAATGGGACGGATGCGATCTCCTGAGGTCAGCGCTTCCCAGTGTAGCAAGCAGAGCAAGCGGAGTGGCCGGGGAGAAGGGTTCCCGCTGGGGGAGGAAAAGGAATGGCCCCGGACCGGAACCGCCCGCCGTCGCGCACACTGTCGCGCACCACGCTCGCTCGCCCACCTTGCAATAAAAGCAGACGACACTGGAATCCCCGATCGCAGCGCTGATGCCGGGGAGGCTGTCTCGGGCTGTCTGTATCGGGATGCACCAATGGAAAAAAATTCGTCGACAATCTTGAATTTGAGTCGAGTGTCTTTACAACTCATGAAATTCAGTCGAAATCCGTAGAAACTCTTCAGAAACCACTGGATTTAACCTCCAAAATTCAAGAAAATTTGGCTGCAATTCATAGTTTGCCCAAAATTTATGCGGAATTAGAAAAAATTGTACTGAAATTCAAAGACATTTCCCCTCGGGCTGGCCGCGGCCACCGTGAACAGGGCTGCCAAGTCACCGCTCGCCGCTCCACTGTACTCGGTTTTACTTTTTTTCCGAGAAGCACTTACGCTCCTCTCCGTTCCCCTTTACTTCTCCGTGTGTCTCTGTCCGGCGCGCTCCTATCCTTTCCTCTCGGCAGCTGCTCCAGTATTTTCTTGGCATATTCCTCCTCGGCCTCTCTGTGCGCACACTGTACGATCTGCCGGGGATGAAGTAAAATGTGTCCCCTGAAGCGAAAGACGATTTCCGAGAAGGTTGCTGCAAAGTCCTCGCTGGCCACTGCATGCCACGCCACTCGATGAATGGAGCGCTGACCAGAAAGAGAAACAAACTGTGCGGCTTACACGCGTAAAGTGTCACCCGAGCTGTCAAGCCGCCACGTCCTCATTGAGAGGAAAAGTTACAAGTCCACCCCCACCCCCGCGCACAGATTCGGCAAAGCTGATTACCACTGCCACTTCAGCAGGGTCCTCCCGAACAAGTTCGAACTTGTTCGGGAGGATGAGTTGCGGTTGACCTGAAAGCCTTCCGCAGATCGTCTGCAACCTCAGGAAGCGAGTTCGCTCCAATCTTGACCATGGTGATAGTACTGGACTATCTCCATGACCTTGACCATGGTGATAGTACTGGACTATCTCCATGACCTTGACCATGGTGACAGTACTGGACTATCTCCATGACCTTGACCATGGTGATAGTACTGGACGATCTCCATGACCTTGACCATGGTGATAGTACTGGACGATCTCCATGACCACACCGGTCATCTG